AAATCTATCAGAATTTGATGCCTCTCAGGAGCTGATGTACAAAATTTTTAGATGTTAATTACTATTGACCTTTTTTTTGTTGTTGTTTAAGTAGTTTGCATATAACATAAATTTAACTATTTTAACCATTTGAATAAAGAGTACAATTCACTTACATTTTGTACATTCACAGTATTTTGCAACTATCAACATGATCCAATGCCAGAACATTTTCATCACCCCAGAAAGAAACTCTTTAACCATTCAGTACTCACCCACATTACTGCCTTATTCTGTATCAAAGTTCAACTTGCATACACAACTTTGTAAGACTACATCCACCCGCTTACCAAGGGAATGTGAAGTCGGCTACCCCTGTGTACTATTCAGAGCGTTTGCTTACTTTTCCTTTCACCCAGAATGGTTGTGGTAGCATCTTTCCACTGTCACCCTGTTCTTAAAAATAATGCCTAATTTTAATATTTATGCAAGCTTTTAATTATTTTCTATTTAAAAGTCCTCAGAAAGCTTAATAATAAAAATAAACCAAAAAAATAAATCTTAATAGTTTTCTAAAGACACAATGATGAGGGATAAGAGTTGAAGATTGGTAATTAAAATGACTTCAAGTTCTGAGAACTTTCATAGATTATTACATTATTGGGTCTTTCCGTTTTCTAGTCTCCAACTGAACTCAGTTGAATGTTGACAAGATAATGACAAATGGCTTACATGGATGGAGCCTACTAACATCTGTTACCAGTTCTATAATTGGAAGGGACCCCACTGAACGGGTCCTTTTAAGGGCTCAGCCACTCCAGACTCCCTCCTGGCAGAGAAAAGAAGAACAGGAGGATTTACATGCCTAGGCAGCGTGTGTAATAGCTACAGCCTATTCCGTGACCCTCTCTTTTTACTTGGGGAAAGTCCTTTAGAGCAGCTAGAAGCTGTTTTAGGACCAATGAACAGAAATGCCCCCTTTTCATGGCATCTTATAAGCATATGTAACATATTACCTAAAGAAGCTATATATATATAATTTTGACTGGTACAAATGGTCTGGCAGTAACTGAAGTAGTAAAACAACCCCTCCATTTAGATCTAGATGAGAGTGTCATATCCCGTCTTCTTAAAAATAGCACAAGAACAATAAAAACAGCAAATTTTATACTAGCCTCATGCCAAGAAACATATATTCCCCTCATATTTGATATTGGTTGTAGTTTCTAGCTTGACTTTTGATTCTACATTTGCCTTCAGCATCACCCACCTCTCTTCCTTCCAGGATCCTTCTCTGTCATGTTGTTGTTATTAGGTGCTGTTGAGATGGTACCAACATTTAACAACCTTATGCACAACAGAGCAAAACATTCCTGGTCCTGTACCAATCTCACAATCATTACTATGCTTGAGCCCATTCCTGCTGCCACTGTGCCAATCCATCTGGTTGGGCGTTTTCCTATTTTTGACTGACCCTTCACTTTATCAAGCATGAGCTCCTTCTCCAGGAACTGGTCCCTCCCAAAAACATGTTCGAAGTATAAGAGACAAAGTCTGGCCTTCTTGGCTTCTCAGGAACATTCTGACTTTACTTCTTCGAACACAGA